GGTACGCGGTGCTGTGGCCTCTCCCATCGCGGGGCACAGGCTCCGGACGCACAGGCTCAGCGGCCATGGCTCACGGGCCCAGCCGCTGCGCGGCATGTGGGATCTTCCCGGACCGGGGCACGAACCCGCGTCCCCTGCATCGGCAGGCGGACTCTCAACCACTGCACCACCAGGGAAGCCCGGAAGGTGGACTTCTTGAGGGCAGACTTTGTCTCCTTTGACATTGTACCTCGGGCCAGCTGCATTCAAGTGTGCATGAACCCTTCCTTGGTTCACAGGATGGAAAATGGAAATGGTGATAGAGTGCAACATTGTCTATAACAGGATTCAACAGCTGTGCATATACAAAAACACAATATCCTAGATATAGGTAGTACATTTCCTCTAAATACATTAGAGAAGTCTGATTTTAGTTTTAAGATAATTTCACAGCATTTTATTTTAACGTATACCAAATATTATGGTAGTTGAACCTTGCTCTTTGTTCTAGGGCCAGTATATAAATATTTACATTATGGTCAAGAACTTTATAGAGAGAATTTAAAAGTGTAGCTATATCACTTTTAAAATTTGTTTCCAGTTTTCCTCCAAGGGAAGAATTAATGGAACCTTAAAGCTTTTGGGGGGAGTGTAGGAAAAGTTAATATTTAAAAATTGAGAAAAGGATGGGGGTTAAGAAAGAGGATGGTAAGGAAAACTTCCCCTAAGCAGGGTCAATATATGATGTATTATAACAATAACAGCTGCTATGAACTAACATTTATTGCATACTTACCATGTGTCAGGCATTGTTCTTTAAAATATATGTTTTCCACATATTAACTCATTTAATACAACCCTTTTTATAACAGGAGTGTACTGTACATACTGTCTTAAAGCCTGTTTTGCTGTCATTTAGCATACTGTAGACACCTTTATCTGCCAGTAATTATAGATTGGTATAATTTTTAATTGCTTCTTGAAGTACCATTATTCAACTATCGCGATGATCTTATTGTTGGTCATTAAGATTGCTACCAGCTTTTCAGGTCTTTCACATATGGATCCACTGAACATTCTTAAAATTACCCTATTTGCCCAAAAATTATGCCTCAGAAAAGAGGGAGTTGCTTTACCTTCAGGTTTTTACATAATGTATAGAATTCTCTCAGTGAGTTCATTATGATGTACAAAGTATTGTAATCCAGACTTCATAATTATCCCAGGGACATGACTTCAAGATTGCATGTGTTGGGGGTGTATCCTACCCAAGACTTTTTTAAAAATTAATTTATTTAATTAATTAATTTATTTTGGCTGTGTTGGGTCTTTGTTGCTGCGTGTGGGCTTTCTCTAGTTGTGGCGAGCAGGGGCTACTCTTCATTGCAGTGCATGGGTTTCTCATTGCGGTGGCTTCTCTTGTCGTGGAGCACAGGCTCTAGGTGCGCGGGCTTCAGTAGTTGTGGCATGAGGGCTCAGTAGTTGTGGCTCACGGGCTCTAGAGCACAGGCTCAGTAGTTGTGGCATGTGGGCTTAGTTGCTGTGCAGCATGTGGAATCTTCCTGGACCAGGGCTCGAACCTGTGTCCCCTGCATCGGCAGGCGGACTCTCAACCACTGCGCCACCGGGGAAGCCCTACCCAAGACTTTTAAAGAGTACTTTAAAAAAGGAAATAGAGGGAATTCCCTGGCTGTCCAGTGGTTAGGACTTCATGCTTTCACTGCTGAGGGTGCAGGTTCAATCCCTGGTCGGGGAACTAAGATCCCTCCAGCCAAGCAGTGCGGCCAAAAATAAAGTAAGCCAGTAGAGACAGCGGTTACTCTGTGGTCATCACAGATGTACATCTAAAGGGAAAAGAAAATGTCAGCTGCCCTAGTGTTTTGCTTGTGGCTTGTAATGAAGTTTCCCATTACAGCAGCACACCCGGCTCCATAATGACTTGGACTTGAAGACAGTCTTCTAGGAAACCGTTTGATGATGCAGACACTTCATAGGTGGTACTGCATAGTTCTTCCTTTATAACATAGTGATGTACTTTGTTGTCAGGTTGTCCCACTTTTAGTGATGCTGAGGTTTAATCAGTGGGTGTAGGGTTGTCAGTCTCATCTCTCCTTTATTAAACAGCTCCCCAGCAGCCATTCCTCCTATGGTTTCAGTTTCCATTGATTATTTTACCCCAGATCGCTTATTTCATTAGAGGTTGCCAACTGGTAATTTTCTAATTCTAAGAATTGTAATGTTCTTGTAAGTAGAGTTCTTCTATAAAGGACTCTCCCTTCTTAACCATTCGGTTATCTTGAAAAATAGTTCACAAAGGAAGGGAAGAATAAATGCTTGATTCTTTCTCTTTGTTAATTTTTATAGTTGATATCATAGCAATCTCCAGTGGTGACCATTTTTAGAGTACTGTTATGAACTCATGGATTTTTAAAAAGAGATATAGTTTGCCTCAATCTTTGCAAGCATTATTCATATTGATGCTTGTATTGGCCCATCATAAGCCAGTGGGAATCTCTTCAAATTGGCTCTTGTATTCTTTTCATGTAAGTCCAGTAATCTTTGATCACTTCCTTGCTGACTGGCACATCCTGAACATTTCCTATCCCAGATCTAGAACCAGCCATTTCTCTAGGGAGCCCTGTTCTTTTTAGAGGTGTATGGTATTCAGGACCACAGTCTGTGTGCTTGACATGCTCGTTGCTATTGTGTCTTTGCTTCTAGGTGTTTTTTTTTTTTTTTTTTTTTTTTTTGCGGTACGCGGGCCTCTCACTGTCGTGGCCTCTCCCGCTGCGGAGCACAGGCTCCGGACGCGCAGGATCAGCGGCCATGGCTCGCGGGCCTAGTCGCTCCGCGGCACGTGGGATCTTTCCGGACCGGGGCACAAACCCGTGTCCCCTGCATCGGCAGGCGGACTCTCAACCACTGTGCCACCAGGGAAGCCCGCTTCTAGGTGTTTTAATAAGGAAAAGAACATTTTATTTCTCAGAAGAAAAAAATTGCGTTTATATTGATAGTCCCAATTCAAGTGTAAGATTATAGTATTTTTATTTAACTTTTTTGAATTTTACATATATTTCTTTTCTCTTACGTTGAAAGTCTTGGTTTTAGTGAAAATTAACTAAATAACATAATTCTTTTATTCTATAGTATACCTAGAATGGTTTCAAAATAATAATACCAATATCACTACTAACAATTAGACTACTAAATGCAATTAAAAGTTTTTCGTCCTTTTTTCCTCCCTAAGAGTATATCCTGATATGGATATATAGTCAAAATTCTGTGTTTGAAAGTCACTTGACAAAATTCTTCATACTGTGTGACCACACTGACAACCTGATATGAAACTAGGTTCATTTGTTTCCATTTGTATTCAGTCTTTAGGATTTTTTGCCTTCTTAGTTGTAAAAAACATAACATTCCCAAATCAAAAGTTATATAAAATAAGATATATTTACAGAAGTCTCCTTTTTATCCTTGTCCCCTTCCCGTGTTTTCTCCCTCCCCCATGGGTAACCACCATTAGTTTTTGGCTTCTCCTTGTACATTAAAAAAAATGGGAGCAAAAATGTAAATATAATATTCCACCTCTTTCAGATACTACAGTTGCATACTTCAAAAGCAATATTTTACAACTTGTATTTTAACTTCTCTCTATAAACTAGCGACTACTAATGGGATATATGTTAGATTTTTCAAAAAGTGACTCTTGCCATGATAAAACATTGATGTCAGAGAAGCACATGTGTTCACTAAAAGACCTGTATGTGCAGGTTCATAGCAGCTTCATTCATAATAGCAAACCCTGGAAACAACCCATATATTCTTCAGCAGGTGACTGGTTAAACAAACTGTGGTGCATTCCTACCGTGCAGTACCAAATAATGAAAAGACATGAACTATGATACAGGACATCTTAGATCTCAGGGGAATTATGCTCAGTTTAAAAAGCCAGTCTTTATATAGCATTATTTTTTTTAATTAAATTAAATTAATTAATTAATTTCATTTTTGGCTGCACTGGGTCTTCATTGCTGTGTTCGGGCTTTCTCTAGTTGCGGCGAGCGGGGGCTCCTCTTCATTGCAGTGTGCGGGCTTCTCATTGTGGTGGTTTCTCTTGTTGCGGAGCACGGGCTCTAGGCGCGCAGGCTTCAGTAGTTGTGGCTCGCGGGCTCTAGAGCGCGTGGGCTCAGTAGTTGTGGTGCACAAGCTTAGTTGTTCCGCGGCATGTGGGATGTTCCTGGACCAGGGATCGAACCTGTGTCCCCTGCATTGGTAGGCAGATTGCTAACCACTGCGCCAACAGGGAGGTCCCTATATAGCCATCTTGAAATGACAAAATTATGAAGATGGAGAACACTCTTGGTTACCAGAGGCTAGTAATGGGGGAGAGGAGGGAGGTGGCTGAGGATGTAAAGGGTAGCATGAGAGTCCCTGTGACGGAACTGATCTGTGTCCTAGCTCTACTGGTGCTCTTGCACATGTACATGTGTTAAGATTGCATGTAGCTAAGCACACAGACACACAACTACACACAACTGAGTGCATGTACAACTGGTGAAATTTGAATAATGTGGTTGAATTGTATCAGAGTCAATTTCCTGGTAGTGATATTGTGCTGTAATTATATTGGAGGATATATATTGGGGGTATGTTGGGTCTCTGTATTTTATTTATTTTGTTTGTTTGTTTGTTTGTTTTTGTGGTACGCGGGCCTCTCACTGCTGTGGCCTCTCCTGTTGCGGAGCACAGGCTCCGGACGCGCAGGCTCAGCAGCCATGGCTCACGGGCCCAGCCTCTCCGCGGCTCGTGGGATCCTCCCGGACCGCGGCATGAACCCGTGTCCCTTGCATCGGCAGACTGACTCTCAACCACTGCGCCACCAGGGAAGCCCCTCTGTATTATTTTTTATAGCTGCATATGAATCTACAGTTATCTTTAAAAGTTTTTTAAAAAGTGAAGTTGTTTGATGAGGTGTGAGAGTGGAAGAAAGCAATTTTTCTAATTTAATATAAAAAATGTAAATTTTTGGTGGTAACTAAATTTAGTGTACTAAATTTTAAGTAGGCATTTAATTATTTCACCTATACTTCTGTATATTTAAATCAGTCCCAAGCTTGTTTTTGTTTTTTAAATTGGAGTATAGTTGCTTTACAATGTTGTGTTAATTTTTGCTATACAACGAAGTGAATCAACTATATGTGTACATATATTCCCTCCCTCTTGGACTTCCCTCCTACACTCCCCCATCCCACCCATCTAGGTCACCACGGAGCACCGAACTGAGCTCCCTGTGCTATATAGCAGGTTCCCACTAGCTATCTGTTTTACACATGATGTATATGTCAATCCCAATCTCCCAATTCATCCCCCACCCCGCTCCCCCCACCCATGTCTACACGTGTGTTCCCTACGTCTGCATCTCTATTCCAAGCTTGTTTTTTAATCTACTTATTGGAAAAACTCGGAAGTACCTGGTATTGGGGGTCATCTTTCCTTTGGGCGTCCACAGCCAATGTTTGCGTGTGTGTGGGCATCTCTTCTTTGGGAAAGCAAGGTTAGATGCCAGCGGGGCCTTGTGCTTTGTCTGGTTTTCCCTCTGGCTTCCCTATAAGCTCTGAGGGTATAAAACTTGTCTTTTCTATTCACTCGTGGGTTCCCAGGGTTTAGTAGTGTGTCTGGAACATAATCAAAGCTCAGTAAATATTGGGTGAGTCAAAATCGTACCTGTCCAAATATTGCTACTGTTTCTTCACAGATAGGAAGAAAGCTTATAGGACTTAAACACATGAAAAAAATCTAAATACTAAAATAAGTGAAAATTACTTGCAGATAACTAGAAATGATAATATGTCATTAAGAAAAGGAAGGGGCTTCCCTGGTGGCACAGTGGTTGAGAGGCCGCCTGCCAATGCAGGGGACACGGGTTCGTGCCCCGGTCCGGGAGGATCCCACATGCCGCGGAACGGCTGGGCCCGTGAGCCGTGGCCGCTGGGCCTGTGTGTCCGGAGCCTGTGCTCCGCAACGGGAGAGGCCACAACAGTGAGAGGTACGTGTACCGCAAAAAAAAAAAAAAAAAAAAGAAGAGTTTTCTTATTGATATTAAAATCATCAACGGAAAAGAATATTAAAAAATAACGTATATATGTAAAAAAGAATCATCTTATGACTTTAAAATTTTTTGAAAGGAGATTTGGGGAGGAAGTCTTTGCAGATACTCATGATCTCTGGTCTCTGTCAACTCCCTGTTGAACTGGTAAACATTCCAGTAACACACGTGGTGATGGCAGAGCACATGGGGTTAACTGGCACTCTGAGTTTGCTACAGCTTCTTAAGTATTTTGAAGATACCTTTTAAAATATAAAAAGAGAACTTTTAGGAACCCATCCTACAGAAATGAATAGCACTGATGTGAAGTGTAAGCATTGTTTGCATTGACAAAGAATGAGAAACAACCTGGGTGTCTGCCTGTGAGCAGGTGAACGATTTCTCCATCAATCCCAGGGAATAGTATGAATCTGCTAGAGAGAATGGTTTAAATATATACTCTTTAACCTGGAAAGATATTCATGATATATTAAGAGAAAAAAGCCAGTTTCATAATGTGATCCCTTTTTAATAAAAACGTAAAGGTGGTGGGAACCTTAAGGTAGGTATGGGTCTAACCTGTGCTGTATGCCCATATTGAAGGTGTCCAGTGGGTGCACACCCAACCTTGAACATTGGTCACTTCTACTAGCAGGGTGGAGGGCAGAGGAGAGCTGCTAGCTTTTTTCCTTTTTTGACTTGTTACATGTATTATGTAAAAAGCAAAAAAAAAATTAAAAGGCCTATAAAATTCTTTTCCTTTGAAAAGAAAACAGGATAGTGTGAAAGCATGTTGGGAGCCATAAAAGGACCAAAAGGAGTAATTCATGGAGTAGTTTTGTTATTTCCCATGGTAAGGGAGTGGTTTTGTTACTTGCTATGTGCATCTGCCATTTTATTTTCCTTGCTTTCTTTTAATAAAATTTATTTTAGTTATTTTTTAATAATTTTTCCTTTTTATTTTATCATTATTATTATTATATACTTTTTGGCCACACCACGTGGCATGTGGGATCTTCCCTGACCAGGGATGGAGCCCGTGCCCCCTGCATTGGGAGCATGGAGTCTTAACCACTGGACTGCTAGGCAAGTCCTAAAATTTATTTTTATATTTTCATCATTTTTGACCATTGTTTCCTTGATTGTCATTATAAAAGTGTGCTTGAGTTTTTCCATAGTAAAGAATGTTCTCTTTAAATCTTCCTTCTCTTTCTGATTTATTAATATGATTGTTCAACTTTCTTTAGCTTGAAGATGATATTATTGTCAAACAGAATTACTTTAACACCATAAAAAATTTTGCACTTCAACTTTCTTCTGAGGAATGGATGATACTTGAGTTCTCCCAGCTGGGCTTCATTGGTAAGAAAAGTTTTAGATTTATTTACTTTTCAGAAATAACTGTGACTTAGACTATTTTTTTTTAACCTTAAAGTTGTCTTTTTTCCTCTGGAAATGGATTGCTTTTGAGAAAATTTAATTTCGGTAAACTTCTGTGTATAAAATGTTGAAAGTCAACCCAAAATAGTATTTGGAGAGTTCTAAGATGGTAATATTTACTCTGGAGTTCAGCAAGGCAGCCCTGCTGGCTTTTTTTTTTTTTTTTTTGGCGGTACGCAGGCCTCTCACTTCTGTGGCCTCTCCGGTTGCGGAGCACAGGCTCTGGACGCGCAGGCTCAGTGGCCATGGCGCACGGGCCCAGCTGCTCCGCGGCATGTGGGATCTTCCCAGACCGGGGCACAATCCCGTGTCCCCTGCATCGGCAGGCGGACTCCCAACGGCTGCGCCACCAGGGAAGCCCCCTGCTGGCTTTTTATGTCCACAGAGAGCCAACCACTGTCCTGGGGAGCGTGTCTCGTTCCTTCTCGGACACTTCGAGTTCCTGTTTTAAAGCCCAGAGCTTTTGCAAGATTGGGGTTCTTTTAAGAAGAGTCCTGCACTAGTGGTTTTCTAATAGGAATTCCTGGTATTTGACATAGTACATGAAGTTCTTGTTCAGTCATTAGTTTGTATTCATGTGTTGCTTTCATGGACTAGTAAGGGTACTTATTTGTAAAGTTTTTTTTTTCATTAAAATTCCTAAAGTATCCAACTAAAGAGAATATGTTTAAAGTTGAAGGTTGAAGGAAATTTGTGGGTCTTAAAAAACACCCCAGACAGTAACATTTCGCTTCCTCTAATGCTTTAAATCTGTAAGTATTAGGGGCTGGGGCTTTGATCTTGTTGATCATTTATCTCAAAACCTAATTTAAGACTCAAAAAACATCTTTATTTGTGAAGGTTTCAGTGAAGACAAAATCAGGAGTCCTTGTTTTTGCTTTTATTGATTTCGTTAATTTTTTTTTTTTACTTAAACCTCTTAAGTTCCTTTTTTATGGGAAGAATTTTAATAAGACATGAAGGAAAAATCTCCAGCTTGCTTCCTGAATCCTTTGAGCTAGTAATTGTATGATAGATTTTGTAATGGAGAGTTCAGTACCTACTTCTGTTTATACTCAGGTGACAACTAAACTTAGCTAAAGCAAGTTTGTTTTTGATAAGACAGGTGGGGAAATTATTGATAATGATTTATAGTTGAAAGCACAAGCTTTAGTGTATTTGTTGTATGGATTTCACTCATTTAAGCTATTTTGCTGCTTGGCTTCTTTATTACAGTTACTGATTGGGAATATCTTTTCAGGTAAAATGTTTCAAGCGCCAGACCTCACTCTAATTGTGGAATTCATATTTATGTTCTATAAGGAGAAACCCATTGATTGGCTCTTGGACCATATTCTGTGGGTGAAAGTCTGCAACCCTGAAAAAGATGCAGTAAGTTAATTTCTTATGCGGGTGGAAGAGGCTTCTTTTATGTTTTTAGTGAAAGTGATGACTCTTAGGGAACCAGATGTTGTAAACGAACAGTTAAATAGGCAGCTGAAAGAAAACAGTGTTTCCACTTACCAGTGTAAGTGCTTGCCTTCTTTCTAGAACTACAAGAAGTTCCTGTTCTGGAGGGACTTTTAAGTCAGTGAAGCGCACCTTTCTTTAAATTGCTGATGAATGTTTATTGAGGCTCTGGTGTTTCCTTGCTGTTGGCCATGTCCTGTGT